CAAGAGATCGAGACCATCCTGGTCAACATGGTGAAACCCCGTCTCTACTAAAACTACAAAAAAAAAAAAAAATTAGCTGGGCATGGTGGTGCGTGCCTGTAATCCCAGCTACTCAGGAGGCTGAGGCAGGAGAATTGCCTGAACCCAGGAGGCGGAGGTTGTGGTGAGCCGAGATCGCGCCATTGCACTCCAGCCTGGGTAACAAGAGCGAAACTCCGTCTCAAAAAAAATAAAAAATAAAAAATAAAAAAAAATAAAAATAAATAATAAAAAATTTTTTTAGCCAGGCACGGTGGCTCAAGCCTGTAATCCCAGCACTTTGGGAGGCTGAGGCGGGTGGATCACGAGGTCAAGAGATTGAGACCATCCTGGTCAACACGGTGAAACCCCGTCTCTACTAAAAATACAAAAAATTAGCTGGGCATGGTGGTGTGTGCCTGTAATCCCAGCTACTCAGGAGGCTGAGGCAGGAGAATTGCCTGAACCCAGGAGGCGGAGGTTGCGGTGAGCCGAGATCGCGCCATTGCACTCCAGCCTGGGTAACATGAGTGAAACTCCGTCTCAAAAAAAACAAATTTTTAAATGTGGGAGACTTGGGAGCCTTTACTGCATGGACTCTCTAATTACCTCTAATTCCTCTTCCCATCTCTTTGTTCCAAGGGACAAGAGAAGCAATGGGGGCAGGGTGGCCATGCCACCTGCTTGATACCTGTGTCTCAGCCACAGGAGCCCTAGATCCAAGGGGTAACTCAGAACCTCCCATGGGTGCAGCAGACAGAATGGGTATATTGGATTGGATCTGGCCATGCATTCTGGAGCTTTCCAATGAAAGCAAAGAACAGCAGCAAGTATATTTCAGAAGACACAGGTGCTTCAATGAAACCGTTTATTCTTTTCTTTTATTTATTATTATTATTTTTGGAGACAGAGTCTTGCTCTGTCACAAGGCTGGAGTGCAGTGGCATGATCTTGGCTCATTGCAACCTCTGCCTCCCAGTTCAAGCAATTCTCCTGCCTCAGACTCCCAAGTCACTGGGACTACAGGCACGCACCACCACACCCAGCTAATTTTTGTATTTTTAATAGAGATGGGGTTTCGCCATGTTGGCCAGGATGGTCTCAATCTCTTGACCTCGTGATCTGCCTGCCTTGGCCTCACAAAGTGCTGGGATTACAGGTGTGAGCCACCACACCCAGCCTATTATTGTATTTATATTTCATTTTTGAGTCAGGGTCTCACTGTGTTGCCCAGGCATGGTGGCATGCACCTGTAGTCCCAGTTACTGGTGAGGCTGAAGAGATAGAATTGAGCTGGGGAGGTCGAGGCTGCACTGAACTATGGTCATGCCGCTTCACTCTAGCCTGTGTGACACGGCAAGACCCGTCTCTAAATAAATTACTGCAGTAATATATCAATACTGTGGGCTAATACTGCCATCTGCTGGCCATCCCCCATGCTGCATCTTATGCTTTCACTTGACCTATGTCATTTCATCCTCGCACCCACCCTTAAAGGTGTCATTATTATCCCCTTTCTGCAGAAAAAAAGACTGAGCTCAGAGAGGCTGTCACCTCCTAGGATCTCTGATATTTGCAGCAGAGTTGAGATTGAAATCCAGGTCCACTGAACTCCAGAGTGCCTGACTGTAACTGCTCAGCCCTACTGCTTCTCGATACAGAAATCCATTTAGCCGGGCGCGGTGGCTCAAGCCTGTAATCCCAGCACTTTGGGAGGCCGAGGCGGGTGGATCACAAGGTCAAGAGATCGAGACCATCCTGGTCAACACGGTGAAACCCCGTCTCTACTAAAGCTACAAAAAAAATTAGCTGGGCATGGTGGCGCGTGCCTGTAATCCCAGCTGCTCAGGAGGCTGAGGCAGGAGAATTGCCTGAACCCGGGAGGCGGAGGTTGCGGTGAGCCGAGATCGCGCCATTGCACTCCAGCCTGGG